GATCACCTCCAGGCCGGGGATCGAACTCATGCTGAAGTGACTTTAGTTTCTTAGTACTGTGCTTCAACCCGCTGCGCCACAGGGAGAGCCCACCAATGTGTTTTATAGATGATTTAATGCTGCAAAGAACTGCTTGCTATAAAGAACTGCAGTTTGTCAGAACCTTCCCCTTATTTCTGGTTAATTTTTCATTTATTAGTGTTCCTTCTTGATCTGCCTTTTAACCTTATAAGGAATTTATGCTTATTCTGTAAAAACATTAAATCTGATTTCGACTGGAAACAACTCTTTGCTGAATGTTGAAGTATGGGGTGTAAGCTGAGAGGGGGCAGGTCACAATTATAATTTGGTTTTGTTATCAACACCCTCTCACCAAATCTGTTATCTTGTTTGGGCCTTTGTTTTCAAGGCTCTACTTTGGAGGTAGAGCCAAGTGCTTAAACCCTTTAGTTAAAGCTCATAGTAGATTCTCTTGACTCTCACTTGTGTCTCTACTTGGACTGAGGGCATAGGCAGCAGAAAACTGTGAGCAGGGCTGATCTTGGATCGTCATGACCCCTCTTTAAACTCAGCATGCTATATTGTCCAGCTTTTATTGTGTATTTAAATATTTCTACTTCCTGTCTGACCCTTTTTTAGTTTTATATTTTTGGTGAATCTGATTGAACTTAAAATGAGCCCTCATAATACTTGAAATGACTTCATCTGGGAGTGAGACTGTCAATCAGGAAAATATTACTACTCTGTATCTTTAAATCCAAATCCTCAATTTAAAAATCATTATGCCAAGCAGAATCCTGTTACTTTAATAAAGTCATGGAAAACTTTAACCGATCTGTTTTACTCTATTTATGAGGCTAATAATATTACTGCTAGCAAACATTTATTGGGTATTTCCTATGTGCTGGATAGAGTTACAAGTGTTTTAATAAGTGTTTGGTCCTTCTGACAACTGATGAGGTAAGCACTCCGAGGTAAGTCATGATTTGAACTCAAGTGGTCTGACTCTAAAGAGCTTATTCTTAGCCACTGTGCTCTGCAGTTTCTCAAATATTTCCAAATGCTGAAATGTTTTTTCTGCTCCAAAAAGAAAGGTATTTCATATGCACAACCAGTTAGAACACAACCAGTTTCAATCACTACACACCAGTGCTGTCCCTAACAGGGACAGGGCAGGGGAAGAGGATGTACCACCACCACAGTCCTTCCAGGTAGCCATCTAGTCTCTGCTCTTTTTTTTTTTTTTTATGCAACAATCACAACAGTGATGACTAATTGCTTCCAGTGTTATATAGTTCCTCATAATTTCACTAGTTTAAAATTTTAATTTATTAAAGATTTAAAAATATGTAAGGTTAATTAAAAGTATATACAAATACAATGCACATATGGACCTAAATAAAAGTTCTGCAAATCCCCTACACACACATATTTAAGTCCTACCAGTGAAAGATATATCTAACTTGGTCAAATACCAAATGACAGAGAGAAAGGAAAGCATTAGCTTACATTCCTTCTATTACTTTTGACTCTTGCTACTGTTTGACTCCCCCCAACCTTTTTTTTTTTTTTTTTCTTTTTTTTTTTTTTTTTAGGGGAAATAATGAAGGAGCAGAAACATTGATCTGTAGATTAATCACAAACTACTAACTGCTAAATAAGCCACTGTCCTTTCTTTCTGTCTTCCCACATCTCCCTGGCGGTACTGATTTGACCTTACCGCAGATCAAGAAGTCAGGGGACGTGGAACCGATGTAAGCAATGGATTGATGGACAAGCACTTCCTTTTCCTAAAGGAGATAAAGCTTTTCACCTTTCAACTTATTTCCTTGTTAGATTTAAATATTGAATTTCACGAGCATATTGCGTCCAATTATAGTAGTGAATGGTGTTTACTAAACACTGGAGGATTTAAAGACTGTTCTACGTCAGTATTTCCTGAAAGGAATTTCTAGGATTGTTGTGATTCATTTCCATCTCCCTTTGCTACTCCTACTACCCTTAAAAACAGTGTATAATTTATCTGCTCTGCCATAGTCTTCAACCACATCACACCAAATAAACATACTTCTCTCTCTCTCCCACGATTACTTTTCTCTCTACTTCTCTCGTCTTTTTCCTTTACTGCAGAAAAATCAGGAAGCCTGCAACACCATGTCAAGCAATGGCATTTCCCACAAACTAAGTGGAAACTGTGTTTTAGGACATGGTGGTCACAGGATGAGAGGTAGCTGTGCTCTCCCCCACGGTGATGGTCCATCTACTTTCC